CACCCTACCAAAGGAAACCCGGTTTAAGCCAACTTTCTTTGCCTTCCAACAAACTTAGTTTCAACAAATGCCTCCGTAAGTGATAGTTGCTGAGCTACATTTTTGCTGCTGCTCTTTTGTGTACTTTTAGAAGCTTCACATATTTTGAATTTGTGGCACGTTTATGTGTGCTATGCTACTGGGAGAATGCTCCAATTCACATAGAAAGGTGATTGATAAAATAAGAATACTAGCAGTAAAAACCTTGTTGAGGTTGGTAACAAAATATAAAGCACAGAGGGATTAGCAATAGACAGCAAATCAGAACTTCATCCAGACATCTTCCCAAAGGATCTGTTCAACAACATCGCCACACATCATGGTGAGCACAACAGATGTTGCGACTAGGTTAGAGGAAGTCTGCATTGCCTGCCAGCTTTATATTGTGCCTCCTATATGGTTCCTACTGCTTCATCCATAAGAAAACCAAATCAAGTATTGTTGTGTTTCATAGGAAAGCAAAAACATTGGACATGCTACATGTTGCCAAGTATTAAGCCTGCAAAAATAACTTGAAATGCCATTCCCATATCCTGTTTAGCTTCCTGGCAAAGGAAACTGCCAAGGAGCTTATGAAGAGTTGGTTCGCCTCCAATCCATACGAACTGGGGAGTATGTCCTATTAAATTCAGCAGGACTTCTCTTTCTCCAGGGTTCCTTCAAGGTTTAATTTCTTAAATTTCAGGAACCAGTTTGTTATTATGTTACATAGTGCATGAAAAACCTGGTTCAGCATTGGTTCCTGTATTGCAAGGGTAAGGAACCTTTAACCATCCAGATATGGATGACCAACCATTTTCAATATCCCTCATGGATGGCCATAGTGGCTAGAGCAGTCCAGCCATGGCACTCTTGATATAGTGTATGTAGAATATAGTGTGGAACAATATATCAATATTTCATTTGACCTTCATATTACAAAGGGGTTTGGTAGCACCTTTTCAAACTAATACATATTTTTAAAGGCATAAGCTTTAGGGAGCTCCAGTTCACTTCATCAGATACATGGACTGATGACCTCAATGCTAATCTTGAGCAGCCACTGATGGCCCATTCCACTGTCTCTATTCCCTTTTCTTTCATATTTACCTTACCAAAGCACAACCTGCCTCAACCAAAGACTAAGCTTTAAGATGCATGCAAACCCTTGTACCAGTGTTATGTCATAACATAGCTCAATCGCTGCTGTGATCAAGAGAGAGAAGACCATCTCCATCTGCTCTTTCCCATTTTCCAAGACACCTTCCTGTCAGGGGCCGAGGAAATCAGGAGATTCAGGCAGTTCAAATGAGTATAATGATTCATTGCAAGCTTAAGGCCTCTACAAGAATCTGTGCTACTAAGGATCAAAGCAAATTGGTGGTAGATAAGAGTCAAAGGAATTCAAGGTGGGCTGGACTGAGATCTCTTGTGGGCATGCAGGAACTCATGCCTCCCTTGGGCTCAGCCTCTCCTATATTCCCCTTGTGTTAGACAGGAAAGTCTGTAAAGGGCTTCTACTCTTCTTTATTGGAATGAAAATAAAAGGTGTTGCTGCATTAGATGCTACTTTCACACACAAACAATTGTGAGCAAAAACCTCCTGCAGGTTCCTCTGTTCAGGGCAAGAGACCCAGGGAAGTTGGAGGTGAGACTCATACATACAGGGAAGCACAGGAATGTCCAAGGTGTTCATTCCACTAATAATACTCTTTTCTTTCCTAATTGTCTCATACTGTAAGACCTGAATGGTGACAGTCCCGTTTCCTACATCTTTTTCCCTACGTCCGTAGGAAAAAATGAGAGCTTGATTGATGATGTGCCATCAAGTTGGTGTTGATTCTTGGTGACCACACAGATTTTTTACATCAGTGGTTCTCAACCTGTGGGTCGGGACCCCATTTGGGGTCGAACGACCATTTCACAGGGGTCACCAAACAACACAGTCCGCCATTTTTTTCCCCTTTTCCTTAGCTGTGCTACTCCCTTTTATTCTATTGGCTTTTGAAAACCAATAGAATAGACTCTCTTGAATAGAGTCTAATTTTATTGGCTTTCAAAAGCCAATAGGAATTGTCCAAGCTGTCTCTGCCTTGCTGAGCCTGCCAAAAGTCCCATTCTGCAAACGGTGCTGCACCAGTTGAGTAGTCCTCGACTTACGACTGGTTGGGGGTCGCGGTATTAAAAAGGTTGAAAACCACTGTTCTACTCACCTGCATATCTGTACAAAAAATATCCTACTCCACTTAAAATTTTCAAAAATCATTAAAAAATAAGTATTGTTATTCTGTGGTACCAGCTTAAGAAACATTGAAGAATCCTCATTAGCTGACTGTAGCTTGCTTTGGCTTAGCTTAGCATGTCAGGTTGGCATGATATAATGAAACTTGTCATCTACCTCTTGGTTGTGCCAGCAATGGTAAGTTAACCAAGTTAAATGCAAGGCCACAGAGGCTTGAGAAAGTAGCATTTGTACCTTCCCATACTATCCCATTCTGAAAAAATGCAGTGCCTATAAGCCCCCAATCATGCAGAAGATCTCCCCAAGAGATTAAAGAAATTTAACTAAGTGGTAACAGTCACTTGGGTGTTACCCATACCAATATGAGAAAGCCTAGCTCATCACTCCACATCCCCTCAGCCCTGTCCAAATATGGAAGAGATATTCCCACAACGTATATAACTTGGAATTATCCCAGAAGCAGCAGAAATAGCCCACAAATCTGCAAACCACTTCACAGCCTCCTTGATTCAAGTCAGTTGAATCAAAGTGAGTCACAACTTTGATTCATTAATCCAGTTCAACAAGGCCATAGGATCAGGTTCAGCAAATCAATGCTCCCTTTCAAAACTTTGCTAAGCCCTAGATTACTACAAACTCTATCAATACAGTACAGATGGAGATTCATCCTTTTGCATTCAATGTGAACTCAACTCTCTCTTCAGATGATGAGTTTCTGGTAATTTCTGCACACTTTACCTTCTCTCAGCTACCTTCTGCTTATCAGTCAGTTTGTTTGGGAGGAAGGAAACTTGAAATCTTCCAGACCATTGTGACCTATGTCTCCTTTTTACTACTTATTAGCCAATCAGTTTATTTCAGAACCCCTGTTTGCCAGTTTTCTTACCCAACCAACTTCCAAACCTGTGTGTGCATTTCCAGAAACTTCTGAGTTCTCTTACCCTAATGACACATCCATATTATTACTCAGTAGTCCATTCTGTACATAAAGTTGTTGGCACTCTGCGAATGCGCTCCCTACCACTAGGAGTGATGATGATCACTATCTAGCTGCTCAAATGTAATTAACTATGTTATCTTGACAGACTTGCAAATGGGTGACTAATCTTGCCCAGCTTATATAATACATAAAGGACTTTTTGTTTCTTCCTGCTGAGATCAGTCCTTGGCAGGCTGACCTTGAATCCACACAGACATTGATTGAGACATATCAGGTGAAACTGATTGGAGCAAAGGGGATCTCTGTTCAAAGTGGAAGGAAACAGGGGAGGCCAAATTTACAAATGTTGTATGATGTTTATTGCCTATGGAAGAAAAGCTTGCAGAAATGCTATGCAATGAATGCAGCCCAGTTTAAACCCTCCTGCATGAAGGGGCTCTTGAAACTAGCAAGTCCAGTGCAACACTTCTAGCTAAAGCATCCTGCACAGACAGCTACCTCATCTCTGCCTGAACAGTTAAAATGAAGAAACACTCATTCTCTGGTAGTATTAGGTATGTACAGACAACACACACACACACACACACACAGAGAGAGAGAGAGAGAGAGAGAGAGAGAGAGAGAGAGAGAGAGAGAGAGAGAGAGAGAGAGAGAGTGTGTTCCAATGTCTAAGGGGCTGCCACAAAGAAGTGTGGTTTAACCTATTCTCCCAGGCAGGACAAGAAGTAATGGATGGAGAGAAGCAACTTGGAACTAAGGCGAAATTTTCTGACAGTTAGAACAATTAATAAGTGGAAGAACCTGCCTCCAGAAGTTGTGAATGCTCCAACACTGGAAGTTTTTTAAGGAGAGAGTGGACAGCCATTTGTCTGAAATGGTATAGGGTTTCCTGCCTGAGCAAAGGGTTGGACTAGAAGACCTCAAAGGTCCCTTCCAACTCTGTTATTCTGAGAAGTTTGGAAGTTTGGAAATTGATTGGGTAAGAATATTGGCAAGTGGGGCTTCTGAATGGCCGGTAGGTAGCAAAGAGGAGATGCGGTCAGAATGATCTGGAAGATTTCAAGCCTTCTTCCTCCCATTGAGTTGACGGAAAGATGTTTTAAAAGGTGGGATTAAAAATATAGCAATAATTGGTTCCACTGTCAAACTGCTCTGTTGGAAAAGTTCCTTTTCCCTGACTACTATTCTGTTGGAATCTGCCTTCCTAGAGCTTAAATCCAGTACTCTGTGTTAGTTTTGATCTTCCTCTGTGTGACATCATTTTAGATATCTAAAATACTTCCATATTTCACATGCACACAGTCTTTTCAAGGTTGAAAGTTTTCAAATCCTTCCATTTATCCCTCTTAGGATTTGAATTCTAGCTCCCTGATTTTCCTCCTTCTCCTTGTGGAAACTTATTCCAGTTTACCTGAGCACAGTACTTCTTCAGGTGTGGAGTCCAGAATTGAACACAATACTGATGGTATCATTTGACTGAAGCAGATTTGGTTCTCCATTATTTGGGAACTGTATTTCTATCCATGCAATCTAAACTTGTGGTTGCCATTTCTGCAGCCCATTACACTGATGATCTACCCATTCCAAGATCCCTTTTTTTTTTTTACAAATTGTGTTTTATAAAAGCAATTTATTAATTAATGTTCTTCTCGTAACATGTAAACATAATCTTCATTAAGGGATTAGCTTGTTTAATTGAGCTCTCAGTCCTTTTTTTTCCCCTGTAATGTGAGGGACTATATACTCCGTATAGCTGTAAAAACGATTTAAGCATAACAGAGCATAAAATGTTCGGTTTTATTTTGTGAAAGGAAAAATGTACACATATTGGAAGCAATAAGAAACTAAACAGACACGTGGGGCTCAATTTTCTGGGCTGAGGGAGAAATGCAGGTGACGAAAATGAAGCCCAACAGTCTTATCTTGTGTGGTGACTTGGCCTTGTTCTGTAGTCATTGCTGGTTCCTTTCTTGGTTGGTTCCTCTCTCCCTTTTCCTCTGGAATCCATACTTTGTCCTCCCTTTCTTGATAGTTGCTTCTGCTTTTCCTTACCCCTCGTCTCCGAGCAACAGTTGGTCTTCAATCTTCATAAGAATTTTTCCCTTCTTGGCTTCTGCCTTCAACCCTCTCCTCCTCCCCTGCTTTTATTTCTTCTGCTCCTAGCAGACCTTTCTCAGGGTAAAGGTGTGTGTGAGCTTCCACTGTGTAAATTAAACATTTAACTAACCAAATTAATTCACATTTGAAGGGTGTGAAAATATCTGGAGAACTTTAATTTCTGCTTTGCTCTAAATGAATTCATCTCCGTTGTCCATTCATTTTTCTTTTAGGTGAAATCTGTTGTTTTGGTACAGCCTGGAAGTGAACGACAAGAAAGAGAAAGCTAGCTATTTCTTCTCATTTTTTGTCACAACATTAACTGCAAAGAGGACAAAGAATTGGGATAATGTTTTCCAGGGAAGATGCCTTCGGACAGCAAAGGTTTCTAACACCAGCCCCAAAATGAAGCATTATAGAGTTGAAACACTGACTTTCTATAGTCATATCTGGTTCTACCTTGCCTGCAGAAGCAAATAGCAAAAGAATGGATAGGGAAATTACACTTTGAGATATAAAGATAAATCTCTACACTTCATCCTTTTAATGCAGATTTATCTTCTTCCCCCTTCTCAAAACTCTAGATCTGGAGTAGAAAATAGGATTCAGCCTGGGAATTAAAACATGGTTCTTATCTCAGCAGTTACAATATCCAAGGTGGGGATAAGGTATAAGTAGGGAAAGCTTCTCAAAAATACCACCTCATGACGGCTTCAGTTTCTCAGTGGAGCTGCAAGGAGGATCTGTGATCCATCTTCTCCTCTATAGACAGAAACAGTTGGAGTAGAACTGAACTGGGAGCCATTGCTCTCGCTTGTTTCTGCAAGAAGTACTTTTCTCTGTACACAAAAAGGTGGGAGGTGATTCGCTTTGTAAAATGAAGATAGTCCAATAACATGTAGATCAAAAATGCCCAGGTGAGTGTACCTATGAAAGGACAGCAGATACAGGAAGATATGTTGTGGTATAGCAAAAACATTTTCCAAAGTATACATCCAAGACAACCCATATGTAAAAATGTACATATAAGAAAGCAGGAGGGAGGCATAAACATTCATATATTCTTTGAGCAGTTCACGATTGGATACCATGAATGGTCCGAAATAAATTCAGGAAAACGAGAAACTGGAACTGAAAGATTTATCCTGTAGAAATGCTTTTTTTGCTGTTCTGTTCAATCATATTTGATTCTTGGAGACAAGTCCCTGCAATTTTCTCAGAAAGGTTTTTCAGAAGTGGTTTGCCATTGCCTCCTTCCTAGTGCTTAAAGAAAGTGATTGGTCCAAAGTAACTCAGCTGGCTGTCTGCCTAAGGAGGGACTAGAACTCATGATCTTCTACTTTCTAGTCCAGGGATAGGTAACCGTGGCTCTTTTATGACTCGTGGACTTCAACTTCCAGAATTCCTGAGCCAGCATGGAATTCTGGAAGTTGAAGTCCACGAGTCATAAAAGAGCCAAAGTTGCCTACCCCTGTTCTAGCCTGATACCTTAACCAGTACACCAAACTGACTCTCCATTCAAATTATACTTTCCTAACAAATTGGATTTAATTCAATGAAAGACAGAAAAGCTTTGAAAAACAACGGCTGACAATAACTTCCAGTTTCTAAAGACCTTTGTTGACTTCCTTGTTCCGCTGTATGTGCAGCAGTTGTCCAAATATGGGTGTTTGTTTACTTGGTGTCTTTTTGTTTGTTTTATTATTTTGATACTTTGCATCTCTTTATTTTTACGCTTTGACTTTTATTTCATTTTTCACTTGCTCAAACCTACTAGTGTACTTCCTTTTGATAGTGTTTGGTCTCTCTTCCTAACTTCGGTTTGCTTTCCCCCTCCCCCTCCCCCCAAAAAAACCTTCTTTCATCATGCAGCAATTAGCCACAGCCTCATAAATCACCACACAATCTGCTTTACTGGCCTGGACCTGCTGGGTCACTCCTTGTTGATTCTCCTTATGATTAAACTGAATCGCACATTAATCTTTGTTTGAAATAAGCTTACTGATAACTACTCTCTCCAGTAGCTGTTAAGCTGTTTGCAAACAAAAAGTTGAAGGATTTCAGTGACCCAGGTGGAGATAATGTGACAGGTGAATTTAGTCTCAGGTTTGCTCAACTTCAAAGAGTTAAAACCTGAAACCGTAGATGATTTCTTTTGGCTTTCTCATGGAGCTTTTCAACTCAGGCTTGCACCTTTTTTATTAAAAGTGTATAACTTTGTTTATATTTTTTCAGGCTTGCCCAAGTAGGAATTGGCACCTGCTCAAGTTGGACTCACAAGCAGGCATGGAATGCTAACAGCTATGGCACAAGGACCCTGTTTTAGTTGCTTAATAAGGGACGATGAACCGAAATGGACCCATTTGGTTATAGTCTCACTTGTTAGCATGTGAATTACTGGCTACAAAAGGAATTTGTTTTCATTACATATGCATACCTCGTCTGCAGTGTTTCAGAATTGGCAGTTTCTGATGGCCATCTTCTGGCAACAGTTATCACTTTTCCCTAGAATGGTCCACCTGTTGTATTCTTCCTGAGGAACAATAGAGAAATAGAGGCAGCCACAGTAGAAGAACTAAACAATATTGCAAACCTGTATGATAAATACCCTAAACCAGGCCAATAAGAGGATAGAAGGCCAGTGCTGCTTCTATCAGGAAGGCAAAAAAAAAAGTTTTTAAAAGGAAGGACAACACAGCACAAATGTGAGCTGCTATTATTCTCATTGTTGTTCTGGAATGACCAACCCATTTAAGAAACAGTTTAGATGGAGGGTTTGCACTACAGCTCCCAAAACATACAACCAAAAGTTTGTATTGGAATCTTGTACCTAAAAGAAGCCACTGAGAGGCTTGGAGTCTCCAGAGATTCAGGGGAACTGGCAAGGTCCAAAGAAATGCAAATGAAATGTTTCTGTTTGATCAGGCCAAAGAGGAAAGGATCAGAGAGAGAAGACTTATCCATAGATTTGTGCAATGGTCAAAGTACAACAAAACCAGATGTTGTACTAGAGCGTCATAGCATCTGTTGTAGGTGATGGTGGATCCATTAGAAGTACATTTGATGGAAATTTCTGGATGGACATTATTTATTACAAATGGCCTCAAAGACAGTCTGCCATCCACTGGAATGTTGGGACACAGCAACCAAGACAGAAGGGAGTCCCGGAGACAGATGAGAAGATCAGAAGCAATGGGAGGGCAATAGTCAAGGCAAAATGATACAAATACATTAATGAATGAATTAAGTAATCAAATGGTTTTAACAAATGGATGATGGCATCATATTATGACTTAAATAAACACACACACAAAGTTGGTATGTGCCCCCTTTGTAAATGTACATCAGTGAAGTTATAATGGTCTGCTCCATAACTAATTTATTGCAGAAAAATCCATTGCTGTTCATGGTGCATTTGCAATGTAATGGGGTTGCACATTTCTGGCTTTATGGATTTCCAATCAGATTACGTTTTCCACACACTGCGAGTCTTATATGAAGGCAAACCAAATGAGAATTATCTCCATTGTATAAACACTGAGGCTGCTGTGAAAGCAATCTCTGTGAAACTGGAAAGAACTTTCATTACCTTAGTTGCATGGTTACAGATATGGGTAGAGACAACCAACATCGTAAATCTGGCATAGTAATACACAGGGTATGCAAATAATGACCTTTCACAATGCACCCAAGGGCTGAATACACGGGCTTGACCTAAATCAAAATCAAACTTTGCTGAACTTTTTAAGAGACATTCTGAAGAAGATGCATGACAAACTATCTGAAAATGGAACAAGAATCCAGATGGATGATGTGCTTAATTTGTTCATATTTCATGTATGTAAATTCTTATTATTTGGTGGAATTAACATCACGAGACAAATATTCAAAAGAGATGGATGGCGAAATATAGATTTAAATGTCTAAACAAATTCTATATCAGTTTTCAAGAGTTAATCAGAGATTAACAACTGTCACCACTGTTTTCCTATGAGATTTTAGCTCAACTGTAACAGTGAATGAGTTCAGCATTTGCCTAAAAAATGCTGCAGGATCTCAAGAGACAATACCAAAATCTCATAAAATGTTGCCATTTGTGAGGTTTGCCACTGTTTCTAATGTTTTAAATACATATTTTTAATTTAATGTTAATCCGTAGACTTGATTTAGAAGTGCCTTGGGTGGTTGGTGCCTGCAGCTACCATGCTACCAATCCTTTCTCTAATTCATATACACCATCGCACTGATTATTTTAGTTGTGCAGAAATTTTTCACGTTTACAGACAATAAAATATCACCTCAGATACACATCCCTTTCTATTTAGGTCAACAAAGCTGAGAAAGGCAAACATTTGATGACTGCCTGGAGGTTATAAACAGTGGCAGATTTTAAGAAACCTCTAAAGCTCACCCCACTAAAAGTTTTATCTGCTCATTAGGCTGCATATAAAGAAATACAAGTCAAGAGAGAGGCAGCTGAAGTTGGCTACCGTAATATGGTGGACAATTTTAGATCAAATTAATGCCCGCACAGAATGAAGTAGAATGGGTACCAAATTACCTAATCTCAACTGAAAACTTTTGCAACTGATTTCATGCTCCATAGCACTGGAACCAGAGAAATATGTCTACAAGGCTGTCTTAGTTGAGATTTTTTTGTTGTTCTTTTTGTCTCCATAAAATCCCAAAGAGGAAGAGGAGCACATTCACACAGTCTATCAATAGGATTAATCAGCTACAGCTCATTATTCCTTTTTGGTTTCCATGGTGCACCATCTTGTCTGCCTTGCCATGTCCCCCAGCACAGGTCCAGAACTACCATTCTTCCATCCTAAACTCTACTGCTCTTCCTAGCAAAAGACAGCAACTGCCATGATTATATGAAATCAGTGGAAGCTTTTAGGGGCAATTTTCAAATCAACACACCAGCTTTAAAAGAATCTTTGAACAATTTCAAATGGAAACATTTGGTTAAATCATGGTCTACCCAGCAAATATAATTAATTCAATCTCCATAGAAAACATACCTATCAATATATCACACCTATTCATCGGAAAACAATAATCAAAATTCGGGTTCTATCCAACCATGGTTCTTCCTTTCCACCAGTGATCTTTTCCTGCAAGATCACTGGGTTTTCAGAATTGACACCAAGGTATTTGGGACATATACATTTGGAAAGAACAAGCTTAAGGCATCTCTCTCCCATTAATTTAGCAACTCTGACCACTAAGGAGAGATTGATTAATCCTTTTTTAAAAAAAAAAATGTGGTTAGCTTTGTGTAGACTTCCTTGTATGAAAACCTCTCAGCCAATCAGTCTGAAATTGGTTAGGTTTTTTTCATTTAGAAAGAACAGCTTTGGTTGTAAATGCATGGCGTGCTGTTCAAAACAACAAAATTGTTCATACTTTTCTAAAAAATAAAATAAAATAAAAAAGAACTTGAAGGAGGGTAGTTCCCAGTCTTATTCCGCAAAATTATTTCTAAACATTTCTTTGATTTCTGTAAAAAAACAAACAACAAAGCAACAGTCTGCATTTTTCCCATGCCAGCTAATAGGAGCCGCAAACCTTGAATTGCCTTGAATTAGATTCCACATCAGAGAAAAGAGCTCGGAGTTACGTCAAAGAGAAATCATTTCTAAAGCACTGAATTCAGCTCTGAACCAAATCTTGATGGTAGATAACTAGACAGAAGCATGTGAGCACAGTCACATCTATTTATTTATTTGTGTGTGTGTGCGTGTGTGTGTGCATGCGTGTGTGTGTGTGTGTGTGTGTGTGTGTGGGTATTGCAGGATAGCACTAAATAATCTAGCAGCAGAATCCAATTAGTTATGGATTTCAGGAGGGTTTCCTTTGTTGCTGGTACTATTATTCTTGCAAACTGAAGCTCTTTATGCCTGACTGTAGATTCCTTCTAATGTTAAACATGAATGTGCATAAAGAAGCATGTTTTGAAAAAGAAGGCCTTTTTGAGCCTGGATCCATTGATAACCTAATCTCTTTCTCCCCTCACCCTCCATTTTTTTAAAAATACTGAAACCCACAAAAAAAAGAATGCAAACAGCTGGTGCTGAAAGTGAGCAAGGGTGCCTTCTTCTCCCCAGACTCCTCTCTCTTTTCATTAAATCATTGTAGCAATAATGTGACATGGCCCCTGTTATCCCTGCAGCTCTAGCAAACAGCTTTTCTTTGCACCTCTATTCACGCTACTGCCAAGGCTGCAGGAGGGTAGGCAGGAAACTACCTGTAATTCAATTAGAAAAGCAAGCATGAAGTCAATATTCATGGCAGTAAACCAGGAATCTTGCCGGATAATGAAATGATAATGAGGATGTTCACAAAGGAGATACGCTCGCTCGGCGATACGTTTTTAAAAGAGTTGCTATAGCATGTGACCAATGTATAAAACTGGCAATGGCTTGGAGACATATGGGGGGATTCATCTGCCAGGGACTGAGGTCCATGCACTGGCATACATATTTGAGGCTGAAGATGAGCTTGAGACTCAAGAGTATCCCACCATTGTTGCACAGATCTTATGATGAAGGTAGTTTGGTCCTTAAGCCCATGAGGTTTTGGAGAATCAAAGTACTTTTCTGGATCACTGGCATTGAGGCTGCTTCTTGATTGCTAAACTCACTCTGGCTGGGAGAAACTCAAAGAGTGCTTGGATGTACTTTCATATGCAGTCAAGCTGAGGCTCTAGACAAGCTCAGTGCAGGTAATTCAAGAATCAAGAAGAACTAATTTGATAAAGAAAAGAAAGCACTAAGTTGCGCAAATGTGTTGATAAGCCAAAGTACCTTAGCAGCAGCTAGAGTCTAGGGCTCAGATTGAGGACAGAAACATCTGCAGGTTCCAAACTTTTGTCAAAATACTGAAAGTAGCATATGCTTTTTGCTTGTTCTGGATCCCACATTATGTTGCATGTTCAAAAGAGGCAGAGCAATTCAACTCTGACCATTTCACATGACTGGACCCCATCTTGCAGATGACCTTAAGGAGATCCAGGTTCAGATCCCCATCCAGTTAAAGATCTCATTGGGTGACTTTGGGTCATTCACTTTCTTCACTTCAAACTATGTCAAAAGGGCTGCTGTTCTGAGGATAAAAGCGGGGAAGAAAGCCATTTTTTTGCTCTCAGAAGAAAATATCACAAATAAACAATGTATCAACAATAGGTTTCAGAAATGTAAAGTTTCTGTAAACTGTTTGAGTGATTTTGAGCTTCCCTAAAAATTAAACACAATGCAGCAGATTGCTTTCCTTAGCTCAATAGCAAAATACATGCTTTCTAGATCTCAATAATTAATAGATAGACTCTCCACCTGAAACAATGAACAGTCTTTCCATACATGCAGGGCTGAATGAGCATGTATTATTTAAAGTGTATTATTTCACATAATTTGCACATCCTTTTTTTCCCCCGGTGCCACTACATTAAGCTGGTTTGGCAGTGCTTCCCAGATTTGCAAATGCTGTTTGACTGGAGAGCACTGCAGGAGAAACTGTGGTGAAAACATA